TCGTTTCAAAACTGAAATGACAATCGAAAAGTTGCTATTATGAAACGTCAGTAGAAAAACACAAATTTAGTTGTTTCTTTTGTGGCAAACAACACTCTATTTTCAAATGTGATGATTTTATTGCACTTCCCTTAAAAATTAAAAAGGAAAAAATAAAATTACTAAAACTTTGTGTCAATTGCTTGCAAAAAGGTCATGATGTTAATCAATGTAGGCGAGGTAGTTGCAAACATTGCAATGAAAGGCACAATTCGTTATTGCATTCATTTCAAGAAAAAACTGCTGCTAACGTTTCAATGGCTGATCAAGATCAAAGTTCGGTTTCAGAGCAGATCTTGGATCAGCAAAATATACAAAAAGCTAAGAAAATTCAAACCACAACATGTAATGCATCTTATCAAGGCCAAATCTTGCTGGCCACTGCATTGGTGGAAGTTAAAGATTCTTCTGGTCGGTTTCATGTTTGTCGTGCTCTTTTGGATAGTGGTTCTATGTCAAGTTTTATAAGTGCAAGTACAGTTAAGAAGTTAAAATTGCCACAAGATTCAGTCAACATTTGCGTTAGTGGCATTAATGAGGCCCAAGCTCATGCTTCAAATTCATGTCAAATTTTCATTAAATCTTTATGTTCCAGTTACAATACAAGTCTCAAGTGTTTAGTTTTACCTTGCATTACTGATAATCTTCCTACTATATCATTGGATCCTAAATTTCTTGAAATTCCTTCGTATATTCAGCTTGCTGATCCAAAATTTTACGAATCGAGTAAAATTGACATTTTGATTGGTGCAGGTATTTTTTGGCAATTATTGTGTAAAGGTACGAAGTCTTTAGGTTCAGATAAGCCATTTTTGCAGAACAGCAAATTTGGATGGTACATTTCAGGACCTTGCGGATCAACTTTACAACAAACCACTACCTGTCATATTTCCAAAGACATTCAATTTCAATTATCCAAGTTTTGGGAACTCGAGGAAATATCATCCGAAGTTAGTTTTTCTGATGAAGAGCAAGAAGCTGAACAACATTTCCAGCAAACATTCAAGAGAAATGACGAAGGACGATTTATTGTATCTATTCCATTAAAGAAGTCACTCTCAACATTAGGTGATTCTAAACAAGGAGCATCTAAACAATTCTATAATTTGGAAAAACGACTGGCGTCAAATCCAAAGCTTAAGAGAATGTACGTTGAATTTATGTCCGAATACAAAGAACTTAATCACATGTCTCTTTTTCAACCCCAACCAAATCAATCATTATTCTTTTCTCCTCACCATGGTGTACTACGTGAAGATAAAAGCACTACTAAATTACGAGTTGTTTTCAATAGTTCTTATCCGTCTTCTTCAGGTGAATCATATAATTAAATTCAGATGGTAGGTCGAACAGTGCAGGAGCATTTGCTATCAATTTTACTTCGCTTTAGACAGCATTCATATGTAATATCTGCTGATGTATGCAAAATGTATAGGCAAATTCTTATTGCTGACGAATTTAAACCATTTCAATCAATTTTATGGCGGTCTAGTCCTGAAAAGGAACTTCAAACTTTCTCCCTTAATACTGTTGTTTATGGAACAGCTAGTGCTCCATTTTTAGCAACTAGGTGTTTGTTGCAACTTTCAATCGATCATCAAGCATCTCATCTTCGGGCATCCGATGTTATTAAGCGGGATTTCTACGTTGATGATCTTTTATCTGGTGCAAATTCCCTCGAAGAAGCTGTTGACTTATGCCAACAGGTCAATTTTATTTTGGCAAGCGCAGGCTTTGAGTTAAGAAAGTGGAAGTCGAATAGTTCTAAATCAAATTAAATCATTAAATGTATCTGAGGATAAATTCTATTTTAGGTCATCAGAGGCGAGTAAAATACTTGGGATGCTTTGGTCTGGCCGAGATGATTTGTTGTCCTTCTATATTGACTTACTTCCATCAACAAAAAGGGTAATTCTTTCAGACATTGCTAGAATCTTTGACCCTCTCGGTTTATTAGCTCCAGTTATAATTCGAGCAAAAATCTTCTTGCAAAGATTATGGCTGCTCAAGTTATCATGGGACGAAGAAGTACCCTCTGAACTTGCAAATATGTGGCTCTCTTTTAGATCTGAACTTCCAGTAGTACTTAACAAAATTCAAATTTCAAGGCAAGTAACTTGCAAAAATCTGGTTCGAGTTGAACTACACGGATTTTCAGACGCTTCTCAATCTGCATACGGTGCTTGTGTGTATCTACGCACAGTTGATATTGGTAAAAAAGTCCATGTACGTCTTCTTGCCTCTAAAACTCGTGTAGCTCCTATCAAGTCTATTACAATTCCTAGGTTGGAACTGAGTGGTGCTTTACTTCTAGCACAACTTTTTTCCAAAATTACATCATCTTTAACCCTAAACTATGATAATATTTATTTTTGGTGTGATTCAACGGTAGCTCTCTCATGGATTCGTTCTTCACCACATCACTTCCAAGTATTTGTTGGACATCGAGTTTCGGAAATTCAGAAGTTAGCTCCTTCTGAATCATGGAGATATGTTCCAACTGCTGAAAATCCAATTCCTGGTTCCATGGCCCTAATTGGTTATATGAATCTTCATCAAAATGGCCAAATGACATTACTTTACAAAATTCAGTTCCAATTTCTGAATTGCCAGAATGTCGAAAAAATACACGCGCTTTGGTTCATGGCAAATTAGATTCTAATAATTTGCTATTTCCTTTTTCAAAGTTTTCTTCTTTTCAACGGGCAAAATATGTGATGGCTTATTGTTTACGATTTTTGAGAAATTGTAAGGCTACTAACAATCAAATAGACAATGAACAAATATTAACATTGGACGAATTACGTGAAGCTTCCCATAAATTAATTATGTTAGCTCAGCGTGAGTCATTCTCTGATGAATTAAAAGAACTCATCAAGTCTGGAAGTGTTAGCAACAAAAGTCATCTCAATAATTTAACTCCGTTTTTGAAGGATGGCATCATGAGGGTAAAAACTCGAGTTATTCATTCGACAAAAAACATCCTGCTCTTTTGCCTCATAAGCATGAATTAACAGACCTTATTCTAAAAAATATACATAATGACAACTATCATTGTGGTCCTCAACTACTTTTGTCCAAGACTCGTGAACACTTTTGGCCAATTTCGGGAAAAAGTGTCGCTAAACGCATTGTGCGACAATGTGTAATATGCTTCCGTTTTAAGCCAAAGTTCATTAATCCAATTATGGGTAATTTGCCAGAATGCAGAATATCTGTGAGACCCCTTTTTTCAGACGTGGGTGTGGATTATGCAGGTCCATTTCAATACAAAGATAGGAAGGGCCGTGGTGCAAAAACAAAAAAAATGTTATCTCTGTCTTTTTATCTGTTTAACAGTAAAAGCGGTTCATCTTGAACTGGTGACGGATTTGAGCACTGCTATCCTTTTTGAAGCCTTTCAAAGGTTCATATCACGTCGAGGCAAACCATCTAATGTATATTCTGATAATGGCAGCAATTTTTCAGGTGCGAATAATCGGTTAAAAGAATTGGGGCAATTTTTAAAATCTAATAAAAGTATTATTATTCAACAACTTGGTAATGATCTTGACATTAAATGGCACTTCATTTCGGCTTATTCCCCACACCTGGGTGGTATATGGGAGACGGGAATAAAGTCCGCCAAAGGACATTTACTCAAAGTGATGACATCTTCACCAGGTGTTTTTACATTTGAAAGTTTTTATACCATCATTTCACAAATAGAGAGTATTTTAAATTCTAGACCTTTGACACCGATGTCTGCTGATCCGAACGATTTAACAGTTCTTACGCCATCTCATTTTTTAATAGGTCGTGCGTCTGTATCGTTTCCTTACCCTGACCTTATGAGCACCCCATCTAACAGATTATCTTTGTTTGAACAGTTAGAAAAAATAAAACAACAGTTCTGGAAAAGGTGGTGCAACGAATATGTTGCTCAATTGCAACAGCGACAAAAATGGAAACAAAATATGCGAAACCTTGCGGTTGGTGAAATGGTGTTAATTCAGGACAATGAATTGCCTCCATATAAATGGCATCTTGGGCGCATCTGTGACGTTCATCCAGGAACTGATGGAATTGTGCGCGTTACGTCCGTAAAAACTGCGAACGGTGTTATTAAACGCGCAGTGGTAAAATTAGCACCACTTCCAATAGATTAATTTTAGGTTTAGCGATACAATTGATGTTTCGGTACTGGCATTGAGCCCATGTAATTAATTTAAGTTTTTTAGTATTATTCAATTTGAAAGATTCCTTTCAAAGCTGGGGGTGTTGAGATTTATTTCTAATCAATCAAAAATTGACATTTCAATTAATCACAAATTAGCAACCAGATAAACTTTTTGTACTCTAGCTTTGAAATTGTTTTGTTTAATATTGTCATAACGATGTTGAAAAATAGAGATATAGTCGAGTCTTTTTCAAAATACAGTCCACTGAAATTCATTAATTTCTAATACGCAAATTCTGCAAGCGCTGCAAGAAGCTTGATCCAGAAAAGCGGTATTGGTAATAAGATTCATATTATCAATATATTCACTAATAGATACCCAAAATTCATTAATTTTCCCTGTGGGCTTTACAAAATTATCTACTACAAAAGCCTAATTAGATGCATCGTCATATGGGTTGTTGGCCAATACTTCTAATAAAATAATAAATGATAAAGAGAAGTTTGTGTCGTATCGGTATCCAATGAAGGGGGCTGATTCGACGGTTAGGACAAAAAATAAAAGGTCTGTTAAATCTTTGCCAACGTTACGCCCAAAAGTTTAGGGCTTCATCAGGGCTTGTCCTACTTAAAAAATTATTTGGCCAGAATTATAAAAAATAGTGCGAGATTTTCGGGATGGATCAATTTATTGAATCTATTTCGAAAACCAAATACATTCAAAAACAAAAACAAACCACAACAAAAATACGCATGCTTCCCGTTTTTGCTATGGTTTTGTCTTCCGTCCGTAAACTCCCGGCGGCACTTATCGGTAACGATAACGATAAATGATAGCTCAAATGTCAAATTTGTCAAATAGCGGCTATCGGAATCGCTTTTAAAAGACAACGAAAACTCTCTATTATCTTTATCAATTTCAAATGGTAAATAAGAGCTTAATGCATCAAATTATTTTTAAATTCTCATTCACTGTCTTGATTCTGTATCCTCTTCCTTAGTTAGTTAGTAGGTCTCTGCTAAAAAATGGCACATATTTTGGAGGTGTTGTTGTGCAGAGAGAAATAAAAAAAAAAAATAACAATTAAAAATATATAAAGTTTAATTTCTGAGAAAAAATAATAAATCAAGATAATACATTCAAAAATAGTAGTAAATAAAGAACCAAACTGATAAATTATATAAATAACAAACAAAAAACAGATTGACAAAAATCTACAAGACTAGAAAAAAAACTTAAGTACATAAATGAAAACTAAACTAAACTAAAATCCATTGTTAGAAAAGTTTGAATTAATTTTTACTCTGTCAACACACCACCTAGTATAAGTCAAAATTCCCTAATTCCTAATATTTTACGATTAATAGTTTTATGTAATTTGTAATTTTAAAATTGCCAGATGACTTATGATCATTATTTTAGCTTTCAGTCTAATAATGCATCATTGTATTAGTCTTAATAAATATGTCTAGTGAAAATCTAGTAATTCAACTTTTCCCATCCATGGGTTTTAAAAATCGAAATCAAAAAATCAAATAGTTTGTTGTGGCCTCGCCAAAGCATTGCTGTTAATGGCGTTCAAGCAAGCGTACAAACTTTATACAAAAAACCCTGTCTTCAAGACTAGTAATAACGAAAAAATGAATAAAATATTTAAAAAACAAAAACAGAACAGAGAGTAACTAAATTAAATAAACAAAATAGAAAATAAGTTACATGCTAAATACTTAAATGTTGCAAAATAACAATGAGAACAATAGAAAAAGAAAATTTGCTAAACTTATTAAGTTAGGTACACGAGATCTGAGACAAACCGTCACTTCTTGTCGATCCACTACTAGCTGTTTTAAAGCGGACTTGAAGTTTCCGATTACACAACGTGTAACCGTTTAGGAAATCAATGGCTGATAGAGCTTCAACGTAGTTGGTCATTTTAACAAATCCAAATCCTCTACATTGGTTGGTTTGTAAGTCACGCATGACTTTAACGCTCTGAACAGCTCCGAACGGACCGAATAACTGCCAGAGTTCAATATCCTCGATTTCGAAGTGTAAATTGTCTACGAATAAAGTCCAACCAGGTCGGTTCATTGCAACGTTAGGAAACATGCAATTTGCAAACGGATTACGTACAAAAAATGGGGCATATCTGAAATACGACAATCCAAATTCTAAAAAAGTTTTAAGTAATATTACAAATTTTGCAATGAAGTTAGTTATACCTAGTTGACAGTGGCGACGCGTGACTTGCAGTCTAGGGGGGGGGGTAATGGGAAGATGCGACCCCCCGCTAACGCGCCGCAGGTGAATTTTTTTGTCAATTTCAAAGTAATTCACTTTTCCAGAACAATAACTTCCTTTGTGAGGAAAATAAAACAAAAAAATAATGTATTTTCTTTTGGGCATCGTGATTTTTCCCTTGAATTTTGGATCCTGGGGGTACCCCCATTAACCCCCCCCCCCCCACCCCGACGCGACGCCTCTACTATTCTCAATTGAACCACCACAAAAAATATAATTCTCCATCAACTATCGGCGTTTTCTTTATGAAGCATTATTCTACGTAAAATTTAATTTATATCAATTATTATATTTGAGATACTTTGGAATACCTACACATGCCCCAGTGCCGTTTAGGAGATATTTTTTTAAAATTTTAAACAATTATTTCATAAAAATATACACACGTATAAACCTGCCTCCACCTCTGAGAGATCTTTTCGAAATTTCTTTCCGACAACCAGTATTCTATTTTGTCGATTGTAGTTTCTAGTAGGGAATATTCAAAACATTTCTATAGGTTTTTTTTGAGTATTTATTCACGTCAAAGGTGCCTAATATTTGATCGTACCCTATATACATAGCTTGAAAATAAAGTGGTTCAATTTAAAATTAGGCAATTTAATCCATCTGTCAAAAAAGAAAATTCAATATGGCGTGGCGGCCAAGCAAGCTTGTTTTGAATATATTTTTATGTGTATTTTAAATTATTTTGCTTGTAACTTTGATTTTGATTATTTAATACGATATTTTTTGACTAGGTACCTAAATTATTAAATCGGGCAGAAAGTACATATTTTTTTGTGTTTTTTGGCCTATGTGTGGCCGCCACGCCATCTTGAGTGTCACGTGGTTTGAATTCCCTAATAGATAAACTATACAGGGTATGTCACAAATGTGTGGGGAAACAATGTTATATTTTTTTAAATGGTAAACCCCGTTGGATTAGCTTTTCAAACCTGATTCCAAATATACTAGATGTAAGGTGGGTACCAAAAAATTAGTTCATAATTCAGGAGTATTAGCTATCATAAGAGTTTATCACAGCATGAGCAGCATAGTTTTTTTTTTTTACTTTAGAGCCTGAATATAGTTATAATGCCATACTCACTCTATTTTTAGCGTCCACCTATTCCTAGGTCATGAACACCAACGCACCGCCATTGAGTTACCAGGAAACATAGACAATACTACCACAGCATATACAAAAACAATCAGCAGGCTAACTCTCACGCGCATCTTTTCTGCGCACGCCGCCATTGGGGGATAACATCCTGTCATTAAACGGCAGGGACGCCGACATTTTAATTTATTTTTTTATTTCTGACGGTGGTCATAGGCGTGCAATGTAGAGCGGAATTCTAGTTATGATTTTCAGTCATTTTAGTATATTCGTGTTGTCATTTATGGTGTAATCAGTTATCATTCTTGTATATTTAAAAATATTAATAAATTAATAAGGATGAATATTATTATGTAAGTAACATTAAACTAGTTTATTTAAAGCCAATATGACTCTGTGACCCGATAGAAAAAATCTAAATTATTGTTAATCAGGTCCTGTCTCATATCCCAAAATGGCCGCTAGTGACATCCCGACAATGAATTCCTTTATTACACGGGATGTCACTCAAGTTAGCCTGCTCATTGTTTTTGTATATGCTGTGATACTACGATCTATACCTATCTATCAAATTTAACATTGACATTTGTCAAAAATTGCCTCGTTCAAGAGGGATGAATTTTTATTCATAAAAATGACACTAATTTGAAGTTCAATGGACTTTGAATTATCTCTAATCATCAAAATAATAACATTTAACAGGAATCAATTTTTTTAGAAGCTCATTGGACATTAATCTATCAAATTTGACTTTGACATTTTTGTCAAAAATTGCCTAATTCAAGAATGACGAATTTTTATTCATAAAAATGACACTAATTTGAAGTTCAATGGACTTTGAATTATCTCTAATCGTCAAAATAATAACATTTGACAGGAATCAATTTTTTTAGAAGCTCATTGGAAATTAATCTATCAAATTTGACTTTGACATTTTTGTCAAAAATTGCCTAATTCAAGAATGACGAATTTTTATTCATAAAAATGACACTAATTTGAAGTTCAATGGACTTTGAATTATCTCTAATCGTCAAAATAATAACATTTGACAGGAATCAATTTTTTTAGAAGCTCATTGGAAATTAATCTATCAAATTTGACTTTGACATTTTTGTCAAAAATTGCCTAGTTCAAGAATGACGAATTTTTATTCATAAAAATGACACTAATTTGAAGTTCAATGGACTTTGAATTATCTCTAATCGTCAAAATAATAACATTTGACAGGAATCAATTTTTTTAGAAGCTCATTGGACATTAATCTATCAAATTTGACTTTGACATTTTTGTCAAAAATTGCCTAATTCAAGAATGACGAATTTTTATTCATAAAAATGACACTAATTTGAAGTTCAATGGACTTTGAATTATCTCTAATCGTCAAAATAATAACATTTGACAGGAATCAATTTTTTTAGAAGCTCATTGGAAATTAATCTATCAAATTTGACTTTGACATTTTTGTCAAAAATTGCCTAGTTCAAGAATGACGAATTTTTATTCATAAAAATGACACTAATTTGAAGTTCAATGGACTTTGAATTATCTCTAATCGTCAAAATAATAACATTTGACAGGAATCAATTTTTTTAGAAGCTCATTGGACATTAATCTATCAAATTTGACTTTGACATTTTTGTCAAAAATTGCCTAGTTCAAGAATGACGAATTTTTATTCATAAAAATGACACTAATTTGAAGTTCAATGGACTTTGAATTATCTCTAATCGTCAAAATAATAACATTTGACAGGAATCAATTTTTTTAGAAGCTCATTGGACATTAATCTATCAAATTTGACTTTGACATTTTTGTCAAAAATTGCCTAATTCAAGAATGACGAATTTTTATTCATAAAAATGACACTAATTTGAAGTTCAATGGACTTTGAATTATCTCTAATCGTCAAAATAATAACATTTGACAGGAATCAATTTTTTTAGAAGCTCATTGGAAATTAATCTATCAAATTTGACTTTGACATTTTTGTCAAAAATTGCCTAGTTCAAGAATGACGAATTTTTATTCATAAAAATGACACTAATTTGAAGTTCAATGGACTTTGAATTATCTCTAATCGTCAAAATAATAACATTTGACAGGAATCAATTTTTTTAGAAGCTCATTGGACATTAATCTATCAAATTTGACTTTGACATTTTTGTCAAAAATTGCCTAGTTCAAGAATGACGAATTTTTATTCATAAAAATGACACTAATTTGAAGTTCAATGGACTTTGAATTATCTCTAATCGTCAAAATAATAACATTTGACAGGAATCATTTTTTTTAGAAGCTCATTGGACATTAATCTATCAAATTTGACTTTGACATTTTTGTCAAAAATTGCCTAATTCAAGAATGACGAATTTTTATTCATAAAAATGACACTAATTTGAAGTTCAATGGACTTTGAATTATCTCTGATCGTCAAAATAATAACATTTGACAGGAATCAATTTTTTTAGAAGCTCATTGGAAATTAATCTATCAAATTTAACTTTGACATTTTTGTCAAAAATTGCCTAGTTCAAGAATGACGAATTTTTATTCATAAAAATGACACTAATTTGAAGTTCAATGGACTTTGAATTATCTCTAATCGTCAAAATAATAACATTTGACAGGAATCAATTTTTTTAGAAGCTCATTGGACATTAATCTATCAAATTTGACTTTGACATTTTTGTCAAAAATTGCCTAATTCAAGAATGACGAATTTTTATTCATAAAAATGACACTAATTTGAAGTTCAATGGACTTTGAATTATCTCTGATCGTCAAAATAATAACATTTGACAGGAATCAATTTTTTTAGAAGCTCATTGGAAATTAATCTATCAAATTTGACTTTGACATTTTTGTCAAAAATTGCCTAATTCAAGAATGACGAATTTTTATTCATAAAAATGACACTAATTTGAAGTTCAATGGACTTTGAATTATCTCTAATCGTCAAAATAATAACATTTGACAGGAATCATTTTTTTTAGAAGCTCATTGGACATTAATCTATCAAATTTGACTTTGACATTTTTGTCAAAAATTGCCTAGTTCAAGAATGACGAATTTTTATTCATAAAAATGACATTAATTTGAAGTTCAATGGACCTTGAATTATCTGTAATCATCAAAATAATAACATTTGATAGGAATCAATTTTTTTATAAGCTCATTGGACGTCGGTCTATCAAATTTGACTTTGACATTTGTCAAAAATTGTCTAGTTCAAGAATAACAAGTTTTTATTGTTGGTATTGGTATTGGTATTCTATTGTTGAATTGAAATGTAAAGTGGCATGTCTGTAAATAAAGATTCATTCATTCCATTCATTCACAAAAACTAAAAACAACTTAATAGTTATTTATACACCAAGTGAGTTAAATGAATTTTTATTCATGAGAAGAAAGTTTAACTCACGAGCCCTAGCGAGTGGGTTAATTTTCTTCGAATGAATAAACATTTCAACTCACGTGATGTATACAAAATTTTATCCCATTTTGTGAAAATTTTAAAAATAAAGTAGAAGGAAAAATGCTGGGAGTGAGTTAAAAATATTTTAAATCACTGAGGTTTCAGTTTTTTAGTTGGGCAGAGCAGAGTGAGTTAAAATGTTTTTATCTACAAGCGTTTGGTTATGACGTTTTTACATAACCATTTTTCTAGTATTTGAGTTACGTCATGAGACTCATAATACAACTACCCACATAACAGTGAAAGAACATTCATATTCTCAGAATATTCCCTCAAAGTGCTTTTTGGAATGTTCTTTTAGGAATGTTTAATGAATATTGTTTCGATTGAAATATTCATTTTTGAACGTTCTTTTTATGTACTAGGAATGTTGCTTCTATGCACCTACCTGACAGATTGTTGATAAGAATATTTTCATATTGTTCACCTAATTATCTAAAGTACCATCGTCACCAAAAGTATCTGGGACACAAATAATGCATAATAATCTCCTGGACTAATTCTACTGTCATTCATTTCAATGCATTTAATGCATAGTTTGACAAATATTTGACAATAAAATTCATATAATAGGACAAGAGCTAATGTGATGCTGTCCCAGTTACTTTTGGTGACGATGGTACCTACTCAAAAATCTTGATTGAGCAATTAAACAATATTGCTCTATCTAGAATCTACTAAGAATATTATAGGTAAATTCTTTTTCTTTTGCTTTGTAGGACTTCCAAGAGAGGGAGCCACGCGCTATTAATGATATACATCTTGCCTCGCGTTTGAATCACGTTGGAAACTGTTTCTCTCAGCTCAGTTGGCGTGCTTACCGCGACGAGAGCATAATAAGCTTGAAGCCGGAGCTTTGGTTGAACACTTGTGTTTTCCAGAGAAATTTTCCAACAACTCTTTCACAAGGACTGAAAAAAGCATTATTTGGTTGGATACGAAAATTAACATTCCAAGTATGTCCCTAGAATTAAACAAGAATGTTATGTCTAGGATGCATATTGAGAATGATATATGTAGATATATTCTATAAGAATATTTCAAGCATATTGGTATAATATTCTTTTGAGAACATAACTATAAGGTCATATAAACATTCTTTGAACGTGAGAATATACATTTCGAGCATATTTTTGTAATTAAACAGGAATATTCTTTTCAGGATGTACTGAGAATCTCATAGGTATATTCTAGGAAGAATATTCTAATGGATTTCCCAGGAAGTTCTTGGGTATTGCAAACAATATTTCTACAATCTTTTCTCAGAACATTCTCAGGATATTCGCAATGGTTTTGGCGAACATTCTACGCACATTCCTCCTAAAAAAAGAACATTCTCAGTACATTCTAAGGGAGGCCGCACATCAAAGAAACATGAAACGTGAAACATGAAACATTAAACTTGAAAATAGAAAAAGAATAAACAAATACAAGTCCGTCCACCAATGAAACAAATTTGTTTCATGCGCGAGAAACATTTTTATTACTTGAAACGTGTTTCATGAAATAGATCGTGTTCTATTTTTCTGTTTCAGTTTCACGGTTTTTGGTCATTAATACATTCATAAAAAAGTTAATTACGACCAAGAATTCAATATTGTGTTCGTTTCAGTGGTAGAGCAAGATGGAGAATTGTATAAGTATAACATGGAGACGTTCTCGAATAGATAATCACAAGAAAAAGCCTGCCAAAATGTTGTCTTACAGGTAAAAAGTACATTATTATTGTATGGATGTACCCAAAAACGTCGTTTCCTTTATTTTTTTTGGCTTTTTGAGGATAATAGAAAAGTTGCCACAACAGCAGTTATTATTGCTCGTCAACACTTTCCATTTTGTGATACCCTCCATACCCCAAAAGACTTTGCAAACATTATTCTCGTTTTTTCAATTAGTATGCAAGAGAGAAACGGTTTCGCTTTTCGTAATTTATTGTTCCATGTTTTACGTTTCATGTTTCTTTGATGTGCGGCCTGCCTGAGTATGTAATTTTGTTATGTGGGTAGTGGTGTTATAGACTAGGTTATGAATTCATAACACAACTAGTGGTGTTATGGACGAGGTTATGAGTCTATAACACAACTATTTTTGGTGATTTGACAAATTTCAAAGGTAAACCTCCTGTAAAGGTAAAATAAAGGTAGACAACTATTAATAAACGAAAATAATTGGAAAAATATTCTTAGTTTTCGCTTTGTAGATAAAATGTTGTACAGGGTGTCCGAATTTGGATGGTTTTAATAGGAAACGTCAATTTCTGAGCGAGATACAAAAAAATGAACCCCCCACTCCGAGGCTCAAATTTCTTGAAATTTTGATTGGTGCAAACCGCATTTTGATATCTTCAACCGTTTAGCCGCTAGAGGGCGATTCTCGATTTTGAGCAATACTGTGAAACCTTCATAACTTTTTTGTTTATAAAAATAACTAATTTCTGTAAAAACTTCCTAGAAGCACTTTTTCAAGCAGAATTCAGTGACGTTTTCCGGTGACAGGTGCTGTGTTACCTAAAACTCCAGTAGAGGCAAATGGGGTCGTTAATTTAATGGAACTCGTTCGACTATCACTTTTACAATCACCAAACACACACCGCTTCATCGCCTCTCGATAAAACATATCACGTTCTCCCAAAACTGCCATAAAATTATTAAATTTAAGCCCAAAATTGAAAAAAAAAAAAATAATAATAACATTGACAATGCTATTTATAGGTTATATGACTTTGTTTGTCGACTTTCTGCCAAAGTCATTCATAATGAAATCTTCTATTGTTTAATAAAAATGAATTTAATCCAACAGTAATTCTTATTCCCTAGTCAAACTTCCCGCGTGTACTAACCCAACCTAAAAACTACAAACAACGAACTACCAAGTGTTCTAAGCATCCTCCTAAATTCCAATATCAGGAATTTACACCATGCCATAATATAAATAAACGAAATTAGAGTTTGTTTCAACAAAGATAAGAAGTCAGAACTAGATTTTCTGATAACATACATCATACATAAGAAATCAGAAATATAAATTAATAACTCAAATGACTGACATTGAGATCTTGTTGGAACAAACATCAACTAAAAAAACATTCTTACCTAGTTCGTCTCATCGGACGAACTGGAAAACTTCTTCTAGCTGGTGACGTGGGGTGAATATTCGATGGTGGAACAGTTCTGTTATTACCTTTAGAATCGCCCGTAAAAGTTATTTTAAGGGGTTCAGAGGCTCCTTCAAGGGTGGTACCGTTTAGCTCCTGGATAGCTAGTTCAGCTTCTTGTGAAACGCCTATGGACAAAAAAAACTGTACTTTAGTATGTGTGGGTGCCAACTACAGAAAAATAATGATGGGGTAGTTTTTCCAATTGAAGAAATATCTCATATTAATAGTATCATTCTTTATTACTTCTAGCCAATAACTGTTTGCGAAAACAATAAATTTAGAAAGCGTTAAGTGTAATAATAAGTAACTATTCATAGTGAGCCAAAAATACCAAAGTAGGTTGTAATCAGTATTATGGTGTTCAATAGACCAACCGGTGTGAAGTTGGTGGCAAAAGATAGTAGCCAAATTTTTCGAAGATACCCGAACGCCCAGTGGCGTCGGGTCATATTTTAATCGACAGAAATTGTATTTCACCTCACTTGACTTAGTTTTCTAAAATTCTACTACAGCTACATATCAGCAAAAAAAAAAACATATTCTTGGGGAAATTATATCAAGGGGTATACGAGACGGTATTTTTTCTCGTTTTCTCGTTTCTACAGATTTATATTTGAGCCACAGTTGACCTAGGTGCTGCTTCAATTTTAAAAAAATATTTCATCCCCAGCAACCCGGGACAAGGGGTTCAACTAGGGGTTGGAAGCATATTTTTTGAATTATATTGAAATATCTCGAAATCTGCTTATTAAATATTAAACGTCAAAAATTCAAAAAATGCGTACTTCGCGCCAACTTAGGTCAGCTAGTTATCTCAGTTAAAAATCCGGGTGTCTTAGCAGGGGTGAGGGGAGAAGGCAGATTCTAACTTAGTTGTGACAGATCGTACGCGCAACTTAGTTAGATTCTTCAAGTGCTTGATCGTAAGCAGCTAATTATTTATGTTATGAAAACAGATGTTCGAATTTAAAATCGGAATCAAAATATTGCTTTGTTTTGATTTTGAAATTGAATTAAATCATGGATTAAAATGAGGAAAAACCATTACAGCAAATAGAATTTGACTATTGAAAATTAGGAAATTTACAGGATCTACAACCGTTGAGATTATTGACGAAAATCACATTCGTGAAAAAAGGTTCACTTTACACACTTGTTGCATAAATAACTATTTTATACAAAATACAAAAAAAAAAAAACTTGTTCAATTACCTGCGGCTTTATCCCAAAGTCGTCTCTTAAGCTCCGACATCGGCGTACTGAGTCGTCTTTCGGGCGGCACGAAATCCGGAAACGAATTCACATACTTTTGCAACTCTTTCCTCAATCCGGGCGAAGGATTCGGCCTGATGAAAGCACCAAGAGGAGTTTCGGGAGTTTTCGGATCCCACGGGTAATATTGCTTCGGTCTCGCCGGAGTCGGCAATAGTTTACTGTTGACTGCGTCTTCTAGAATTTTATTTATCGGAGTTACTTGACTGAAATTTTCTTGTGTCAAGTTTTTTGGAGTTTTAGGAGCGTCCTGTTTTTCTGGAGTTACAGTTTTTTGTACAATAGTGGTATTCAATGTTTCGTTATTGGAAGTTTTACTTTCTCCGATTAGGTAGTTTTCTAATGGTAATTGTTTGCCAGTTTTGGCACAAGCTAACAACCAATCTTTGGTTGTTACAGGCAAATTCCACCTCAAAGCTGCTTCGTATTTTTTCCCACTTGCTTCAAGGCTTATTAAGTGAGTAGACCCCAAAACATTTTTAGCTGTGTTGGTTTTTTTGGAAAATTGCTCTTGATATATGGCTCCGAGGCCTATAATGATTGTTTGTAAGAATTCTCTTTCGAAATCTGTATAGCCGCTTATTGTAACTACGCATTCACTTAAAACATCTGTTGAAGTTAAATTGATGTGCCTGTGATAATATTTTATGTCACTGATTAAAGTTTGGGTTTCAAGATTTTCATTCAGCCATAAATTGTTTACTATTTCTAAGGCTGGAAGTAGTTCCTTTGGATTATAAATAACTGGAACTATTGCATAATTACAAATTCCTTTAAAAAAACAATCAACAACAGTTCCACCAGCAGATGCAATAAGACTTTTATTTTTCTTAATAATTTCCTCACTAAATCCTTCTAAACGAAACTTGAAATTTTCAATTTCAGACATATCTGTGCTGACATATCTGTGCTGAAAAATTCTGGTTTTTATTTGATTGTCAGTCATTTGTGCCTCGTCATCTCTAACTGCCATTCTTAAATATTTTTGCGTTAATACGTCATCGTTATCAACTACAACTGATTCATTTGTTGTTGTTTTGTTTTCCCTAAGGATGTTTATAACTTTTTCGCTTAAAATTTTACCAGTTTCATCACTATTGGATATAAAATATTTGCTCTCTTCGGCTGGTTTTTGTTGCTCGACTGAATCCAGCAGCCATTGAACAGATACCAAATAACATTGATCGCAATTTTCTCGTATTTTAATTACTTCAGAGCAAGTCGGGTCTCCGACAATGACGTGACTGACTCTATCTGAAAACTCATCGTAACGAGTTGCCCCGCTTAAATTTATGATTTTGTTAAGTTTTTCGTGACAATTCGGACTGAAACCGGCAATAAAAACCGAGCAACCGTCCAAAAAGTGCTGAGCACTTTTTACTTTTTTTATGTCGATTTTTTCTTCTAGATCGTCAGCTTTTCGCTTGTAGCTTTGTCTTCTGCTGGTGATTGTCTCGTCTATATGTGTTTTGTGACAGATTGATTGTCCCACTGCGCTTATGGTTGAAAAATTGGGATCGATTATTTCTCCGTCTCTTGTAGGGGTCGATGTGGCGGCTTTGACACGGTACTTTTCGAGGTCCCGGCGTAAAGCGTAGCCTGGAAAAGAAAATAATACTTTTTATAAAAATAAAACTGGAACAAATAATATACAGGGTGATTTAGGGTAGCCAGTTTTAAATTTTCAAAATGACATCTAGTTAAAAATTCGCTCCTCAATAGGAAGCTTCAATTCCGAGGTAAGAGTCATTGTTACCGATGTTCAATTTTAGATTATTTTCGGCTCTTGAATTGAATTGAATCAAATCCGGAAATATTCAGAATTAATACACATAAAAATATCAATGTAGCCTTTCAAGATCCTGGAATTTCTATTAGTTTTTCTAACTTCCTGAGTTGAAAACTCCCGCAAGAGGGAAAATACAATCCCTTAAAGTATCAACAACTCAGATAGAGAAAAGGCAGTCACTTTTCAAATTTCACAGGCATAAATAAGTAGTCATTACCATTACACCCTTCTATGTGATTATAATCCCTAGGTCGATTAGGAATTTCATTGCGTCAAATTATCTACTGTCTCTACCTGTGGAATGCTCAGTTCCCTAAGGGCTTGAATAAGGTTATTTAACTGGGGCAAATACAGAACTGCCCTAACAGGAAGGAATTAACAAGATCTAAAAGTAAGTCCTGGAGAAATTTCTGCGAAAAGTGTGAAATTGCTTCTACAGTCGCACTTCCCAGACTCGGAAGAGTGTAAGCTGTGTTATGTTACGCCACTGACTTGTGATGAAGCTACCACACCGCTTATTCAGCATTCCACTTAATCAGCATAGATTATTGAGTTTTCATATTATATTATACAGGGTGGAATTTTTGAATGGAATAAATTCAATATCAGAAAGCCTGTTTATTTTCTGTTGTTTTGTTTACATTTCGGCTATGGCCATTTAATTATTTTCATTTAGAATTCTTCAGGATTTTGTCTAGTATTTGTAATTCTTGTCGTTTATTTTTATGAGATTTGCTGTGTGTGTTTCCTCTATTGTTTATTGCAATATTTTCCATGGTAATTTTATCTATTATTTTTCTCTAGTCTCATTTCGTCGCTGATCTGACAAAGGGGCGTAACGGTCAATTATTCCGTATTGGAGTTAGGGTCGCCGAGTGATTTCTTAGAGTTGTATGTATGATTTGACAAGAGGGCGTATGCTCAAAGATATTACTTCTCTCTATACATTAAATCAGCTAAAGGCGTAAGTACACAGCAATTGCATATAGGAGCTGACTAAAAGGCGTATATCCAAATATTAGGACTTACTCCATTTTGTTAGATCCTACATTGCGTCTTTTCGGAAACCCTGATCCGATCAACCCGATTACCAATTTTCTGTCTCGAATCGAATCAGCGTTTCCGAAACTTTCTTTCTCAAAAGAAATACCCTAAATGCAATGACACAGCCTTTACAAAAATGTAGTAAGTCCCTATAGTGTGGTCAAATTGGCAGTTGGGTTGAAACAAATTAATAAAGACAAGGGTTTTTTAACGAGAATGTATTGGTCATTAATGATATGCTAAAAGTTCCATAAAATGGAACATAAAATATTGCAATGCAAGTTAGAAAAAAATGGCTATCATTTTTAGTTGAAAACCTAAAATAATTTCTTCAAAAAAAAACAAAAACAAACTAGATACTCCTAATTAGATTCTATTCTTCATTTTTATGCAGATAGGAAACAGCTAACAGATTCAATGATTCTTTAGAATGAAAATCTACATGACAGATTCTCAAGAATGACAATCAACTCAACAGACATTTTTGAGGATGAGAAACCACACCAAAAATTCTTGAAAATGAGAAACTAAACAACAGAGATCTCTAAGAAAGGAAAACAGCTCAACAATTCCGGAGCTAAAATACCCGACCACTCGGATCTCCGGGCGTCGGGTGATCCTGGGGGTCCTTCATGCAAAGATATAAAGAGAAGATCAAAAACTCAACTCAGAATTGACTTTAGCAATATAAGAGGAATAAGTACAAATATGAATTCAGTTCACCAACATCTTGAAGAACAAAGACCTGACATCCTTGTTCTCACTGAAACTAAAATCAGTTCTGCAACACCTATTGTGAACTATCTTTTTGGGATCTGTGTGTACATTAAAAATGACCTTTCATGTCATCGAGAGGAGAAGCTAGAACCAGCGAACCTCGATATCATATGGCTAAAATTCACCTCAAAGTCATCGACCAAGTTTATCTACTGCCTCTACCAACCGCCATGTAACACCGAGTACCAAAACTTTTTCGCGACATTATCCGAAAGCTGTGATAGTACCTATACAGTCAAACTATCCACAGGCAGAAATTGTCTTTTTAGGCGATTTCAACGTCCACAATATACCCTGGCTGAAACACCACAACAAAACAGATAACGAAGGCAGAGAAGCAGAAGCTTTTGCCATAAGTTGTGGTCTAACGCAGTTCGTCGATGAGCCTACCCGTATCTCAGAAAGGGGCGAATTTGCAGCGCTTTTAGACTTGTTCCTAACCACAAATCCTGACTCGTACACAATCCAAGTAGATGCTCCACTTGGTTCATCCGATCATAAACTTATAATAACAAAGTGCGAAATGCTCATCTCACCAAGCCAACAACCACTTCCTCGTAAAATGTGGCACTATAAATCGGCAAAATGGAATGGCCTAAAACAGCTTTAACTGGATTTTCCATGGCAAGAGGTTTGCTTTAAAACAGCTGATCCCACTATTTGCTGTAATGAAATAACACAAGTGATTTTGTCTGGAATGGATGCATATATCCCACATACAACTAAACGTAGAGCTAATGCAAAACCTTGGTTCAACGGCCAGTGTCAAACGGCTGTACAGAAAAAACACAGAGCATATAACCTTTGGAAACGACAACAAACCGCTCAAAATTACACAGAATTTATAGAAGCCAGAAATAGTTGCAAAATTACTATTGACTCCGCTAAAGAAACATACAATCAAAGAATAAAAAACAGGTTGCTGAATTGTCCAAATAGTTCTAGGTCCTTTTGGTCACTTGCAAAAGCTGTTGGATCTAACTTCACCAAGTCATCCTTACCACCACTTACAGATAAAAATAATCACTTAGCCACAACATCAGAGGAAAAAGCCAATATGCTTGCCCAAATGTTTTCCTCCAACTCCAACCTAACAGTGCCAAACGGAAAAACTCCACCGTTCATTGAAAGGGTTTCCCATAGTATGCCAGAGGTACCCTTTTGTCACAGAGAAATACGAAAATCCCTAAAAAAGCTGGATACAAACAAAGCAATGGGTCCGGATGGCATTCCCGCAATAGTACTCAAAAATTGCGCCAACGAACTCACCCCAACTTTCGCAAAATTATTCAATTTGTCTTATAGGCAAGGATTATATCCATCATCATGGAAGCCTGCCGCAGTACAACCCATTCCAAAAAAAAGAAAAAAGACAGATCCGTTAAACTATAGACCAATTGCTCTACTTCCGGTGATATCAAAAGTAATGGAAAGAGTTGTGAACAATCACCTAACCAAGTACTTGGAAAAGTACAAAATTATCAACGATAAGCAATACGGATTTCGAAAATATAGGTCAATTGGCGATTTACTTACATACGTCACTCACTTATGGCAAAAAGCGATTGAGTTGCGGGGTGAAACAAGAACAATTGCCATAGATATATCTAAAGCATTCGACAAAGTTTGGCATGAAAATCTGCTCAGCAAGCTCAAAGCAATGGGATTATCGCCGAAACTTTGCACTTGGTTTGAAACAAATAAAGATGGCTACCAGTGCGAGTGTCGCGGGAAATGTTCCCTCAAAAAATCGTGAAAAACGCGATGAAAAACCCAAAATAAATTGTGTTCATTGTAACAAAAGTTCTTCCAGTACCATACAGTGTGGAAAATGTGAGAAGTGCTTCCATCCTTCATGTTTAATTCAGGCTGCCACCTTAAAATCGGCTGTGTGCCGACACGTTCCTATGTACGCATATGAAGAGTCCTGGGAGACAGAGAAGAGTCTCTATTTAATGGTTATTCAAGTTCTGCAGGAAAAGAACCGATTGCTAGCAGAAAACAACGATCTTTTGGAGAAAACTCAAGAAAATCTCGAAGAAAAGGTAAACAAAGCTGAATGCGAGGTTAGGAGATTGTCTAAGTTCCTGCCAAATTTGCCATTATCTGTCACCGGCGTCACCGACAGCCCCAGCCACCCAAACCAAACGCGGGTCGACTCTGAGGTTATGGGCATTTCTTCTTTTTCGTCCGCTGCAAGCAAGGCCAAGCCAAGAACTCCAATCTGCACCGAAGCAACCTCTCAGTTCCCGGTTAGCAGCACCAACAAAGAACAAGAACAGATTGTGAATCTAACCTCAGAAAACAATAGGGATTGTCATCGTGCCAAAAATAAACAAAAACATAATGCAACTAATAATAAGGAAAACCAAGACCAAATCACTTTATCGCAGGTCAACAGGGCCATTGCATCGGCAATTAACAACAAAAGTGAAACAGCAACCCTAGAATGCACCAACAACTACGTTAACAAAAGAGATGCAGAATGGACTATGGCAAAAACACGCAAAACAAAAAAAGATGATAGCTCGAACAAGAACAAACGGCCTACACCAGCTATAGGCATAAACGAAAACAAAACAAATCTTAAGGTAGTGGAGTTTGCTAATAAAAAGCAAGACCCACTATCTTGGATCTTTGTCACCGGGTTTGATCCCAAAACAAACGAACACGATATATTGGAATTCCTTAAGGACAACAATCTAAATGAGGGCAATGAAAGACAATATAAAAAGTTCTTTTAAACTTGGTGTCCCAGCCAATAAGCTAGAACAAATAATGGATAATGGTTTGTGGCCGACAGGTGCACTTATAAACCATTTTCAGAATCTACAGCGCCCCATTGTTTTCCAACCCAACCAGAAGTAAACAGTGGGCAGCAGTTAGCACTATTTCATTTGAATATCCAGTCAGTTAGAAACAAGATGGATGAACTCTATACCTTCCTTCATGATAAGACCATTGACATTTTATGTCTGACCGAACACTG